CCACCCCTTACGCCCATGGCAACGGTTACCAGGAGACGGGAGGCGGTCACCACAGAGACGGGATGCTGTACCTGGGCTCCAGGGCCTCGCTGGCCGATGCACTACCTCTGCACCTCGGACCCCGGTGGTTCAGTTCGCACAGCGGTGAGTAGCCTGCCTCGCGGGACCTTGGGCGGTGCGGTGCGTGCGCTCTTGGGCATGCGGCTTCTGGAGGCTGCTGCTAAAGTCCAGTTACAAAGCCGCTTCCAATCAGGAGCCAAGCACTGCATGCCATGCCCTTAGGGCAGCTGGGGAAGGAATGCACCTTGAAATTTCAGGAGGCAGGTAAAATTAGTTATCAAGTTGCAACGTTGTGGTTAAAAGGACCTAGCAGCTGCATTCACACATGCCAAGTTTGGTTATTGTTAATCTGGGTCAGGCTTCTGTGTGTGCCTGGTATAGCAAGTTGGGTTAATCCAGCTGCTTTGGTTGTTCAGGGCATTGTGTAAGTCCAGAAAATGGGTAAATACAGTAACCAATTACAGTAAACCTACGTTAAGCCAGCAGTCATGTTCTGTAAGAGTCCTTCTGGGATTCAGAGACTTTATTATAAAACCATGTACTGGGAACTGGTTTATTAATAGATTTTCTTTTTCCTGCTAAGCAAGTGAGGAAGTGCTCACTCTAGAAACTGTCCAGAGCCCCAGATGCATTTGGGTTAAGCCTGACACAACACTGCTCTCCATAAACAGACGGGGTAGCATTTTTGCCTTGTTTATTTCTCTGGTACATGAAACCAGAGATCTTTGCCACTCTTCAGAGAATATTGTGCTCTTGAAGCGACATTCCAGCTAGGGTTGAACTATAAGCCAGGCTAAAATGGGGTGGTGGTGGTGACATGGTATGTTGTGTGTATGGTTAGTTTCTGGTTATGTGTGATGGGTGAATGTAGGCAGTTGGAGCAAACTGCAGGTAGAGTGTTAGGCAAATAGCGCCCTTGTCCTCCCAGGCAAGGTTAGCTGGGGAAAAAGTAACAAAGGAGCAGGAATGGAGTGCGGGGGGAAAACTTTGCCAGCTGCTATCGAATACCTGGGGCAGCTTGATCTGTTAGATCAGGCCTGAAGCCTCCCTGGCTGCGTTTTCTTTGCTTAATGTTGTATTTTGCTTGAGTTGTTTCTTAGAGGGATCTTTCTTCCAGAAGCACCACGGTTGTTCTCCTAGGCATCTTTCCTGCTCCCTTTTTAGTACAGGGGTGAGAAACCAGTCCCATTCTTAAGATTCCTGCACTGTAGTCTCTGTACTCCTTACCATTGGCCATGCCAGCTTGAACTGCAGGAAACTATAATGTAGCAGCTTTTGAAGGCACCACTTCCTCACTGCTGCTTTTGTTAAAGCCAGAAAGATAACACAAAAGTCCCTTACCCATTAGTCTGTAATCGAGGGGTGGATAAAAACTCTCTAATCACCCTCTCTAGTTTGGGTTCCTTCCAGGCATGTAGACTTCAAAACTCCCAGAATTCTCATTAGTGGCCCTGCTGGGGAATTCTGGGAGTTGAAATCCACACATATGGAAGGTATCTGGGTGGGAGAAGGCTGATCTATGCTATGCTTACTGGAAAAAAGATTCAGAGCCATTGGATATATCCAGCAGGGCTCTTCCTAAATTATGTTATCTGATAGCTGGGTTTATAATGATCTCTTCATTAGCTGTAGCTTTCGGAATGTCATTTGCTTTCCAAATTCCTGAGTCCACCTGGGCACCTAATAACGTAGGCAGAAGGAGATGGAAGCTGGTAGGTAAATAACTTTGAAGCAGTTTGGGAAAATTGTATTAGAGTGTAACATTGATGTAAAAGAATTCAGAATGAGGTCAGATTGGTTGTCCTACATCCCATGGAAAGTATTATGGGTTTTAGGGTTTTTTTTTTCTAATGAGAGAATGAAAAAGGTTAATACTGTGCCTGGAACATCACATTGGCTTCCAGGAAGCCTGCTTGTTTCTGAGAAAAAACAGAGGGGTTTCCCCAGCAGACTCATCAAGAGGAAGCTAACAGAAGAAATTATTTAAGGCAGGGAATGGGATAAGGTCTGTGGTAGTCAGTTCCTAGGATTGACTGTGGGGTGTGCCCCCACAGAAGTGTGTCTGGAAATGCTGCCAGGAATCTCCATCCACTGTGTTGCAGGAAGAAGCATGCACAAATTAAGCAGTATCTCAAAGCAAGGCAATTTGTAACTAGGTTTTGGCAGGAAGTGGAAGAAATAACTTTCTTCTTGCCAGCTGATTATACTTCCCTTATCTACCTGATACTTGCTTAATTGATTAAAATTTCAATTACACTAGATTATATCAGCAAATTTGATATACCTCATCTCCTTCCAAACTTATCTCCTGTTCTACTCAGTAGAAGTACCATGGTTCTGTTTTGCTTTCAGTTCTGTGTCTTACAAGAATTGCATTGACTGCACTGAGTTAAAGATGCGAAATTGCTCTGCAATCTAATTTCTTTGTACTCCTTGGTAGAGATTTCTGTATTTTGTTTTTGCTCAGCTTTCTTTTTTATTTAGTTTGGGGTGGATGGAGTATAATCTCTCATGTCAGTTTGATTCAATTTAGCTTTGATGATTCAGTACATTGAAATGATTTATCACATCAAACTATCCAAGCCAGTTGATGCAAAGGTTTTCTGCACAGATGCAAAATCCGTTTTGTCCAATTCAGTTGGACTTTCATCTTGACCCAAGTCATAAGTCTGAATCAACAGTTTGAAACAGACAGATCTGGATGTTTAAATTTTTGACAGTTCTAATTCAGTTTGATTAATTGATTGCATTTTCAAATTAATTTTATAAACATATTGGACCAAATTTTTACAAATAAATCCAGTTAGCTATTCTTCAGTCTCTTAATATCAGTTTTACCTACCATGTTGAAGAGCTGTTTTATGTTCTGAAATTTTGAATTGTGTTCCAGCTGCATTGCATCCCTGGTTTGCGTTTCACTGACTCCCACCTACATAGGAGCTGCATTGCTACCATAACTTTGACTCAAAATGATACACCACTTCAGTATAGATTGGTGCATTTTTGAGGCTAATTTTCTCCAAACTAAATACCAAAGACAAATCCTGTATGGTTTGCAAAATCATTGTTTACTGATGTGATGCCTTCTCCACTTGACACCGTGATGGTGACTCTGGTAGTACTAATTAAAAATCCATGTCTTCAGTGTCCAGATAATTAGGTTAATCATGCAATTAATACATTCCATCAGCCTCCATTTCTCTGAACAGCTGGAGGTTTGCCTGCTTGGCACTCCCTGTGTTGCAACCCTCTAGATGTCTTCTTGGAGAGAGGACTTTTTTTTTCTCCAAGGGGAAGAGAAAGAGGGCTGTGAAGGTCACAGCACAAGTGATCAGAACTCCCGATATTGCTTGTCTAGCGCTTTGGCACAGGCGCTTGTCTGTAGGTTCTTAAAGAATAAGCCAGTGTTTGTGAAAAAATGAAGGCTTCCTTCACTTGCTGTTTAATTGCAAGCAAATGTACATGGCCTGAGGTGGCATTTGGCCAGGTTGGCCTCCATGAATCTCGTTACTGACCTCCCCTAATGTTGGTCTGCTAAATTCCTTTCTTGTCTGGAAGCTTAGATGAGACCCTCCGGACCAGGGTGATTGCAGGGGTATAGTCAAAAAGTCAAGATGGCAGCCATGATGGTCCCCTCCTTGACTTCAGCACTTTAAAGCCCAAGCTTGAACATCTGGAAAGAGGCTTAGCAGGTTTGCTCACTCCGGTTTTTTTTTTTTCTTTTTAGCTGCTTAAGGAGCTATAGAATGATGGTATTGCAACCACCTTGAGAACTTCCACACTCACTCTTGCAAATAAACGTAGCCTGCAGATTAATATTTAACAGTCTATGCATACCTAGTTTTAGTTTTTGGGACCAGAGGGAAAGAAAACCCAAATTCTGCTAAGCTTCCAAAGAAATCTCTTACTCACTTGAACTTTGGCAGATTGCTATTTATAAGGCAGCCTAAAGCGTCTCCCATAGGTTCACCGTTATTACTAAGATGGAAGTTGAGCAGAGGTGTGAGTTCAGCCTGTTTTTAGCAATGTTGGCTGTTGCTGTGCAGAAGCTACTGGCTGCTAGGCCTTCTCGTCTGTCCTCATCTGCAGCATGTTGGAGAAGGCCACTCTGTCACTCCCTGCATGTGCTTCTCTGGACCAGCATTCAGTGCTCTTGCGCAACAGCCCCTTGACATTTGTGGGCTTCAAGAACCCCTTGCTGGGAATTTCTTGAGCAGTCCCTCCAGCTGGGCCAACATCTGTTTGCTGTGAGCCAAAGACCTTTTCCTTGGAAGTCTCACAGCAGTGAGGAGGAATAAGCAATAATAAGGAAACAGTAGTTTTTCTGTTTCTTTTTTATCTCACAAAAGTGGCTCAATATGTGGGACGTGGGGGATCTTTGGGGTAGCAGTTTGCTTTTCTTTCCAGTGGGTCATAAGGTACAGTGCATGTTATTTGTTGTTTTAAAGACCATCTCCACAAATATCTGCCATATTGAGCTGATTCAGGCCCAGTTGTTATTTGGATGGGAGCCCATCAGGGAGTCCCAGAGCTACAGGCTAGATGGGGAAGTCAAAACACCAATCCTAGAAGGAAACAGCAAGCCACTTCCGTGCCACATCTGTGCCAGCAGTATAGCATAGATGTGTCCGTGTTGCCGTTAGGAGTCAAATTCAGTTTGAGAGAACCTTTATCTTAATTGTGTGTGCCTTGCAATTTCAGGGGATTGGGATTACGTTGATGGCTTTATCTCATCTGCCTGAGAATCAGAAGAGCAAGGCTGGCAGCAGTTTTCACAGACTGTATGCTAAACGATCCCGTAGAATCCCACAGTCAGAAAGGATCACTTAGGCCATCCTCTCCACCAGCCCATGCTAGCGAGATGATGGTAGGCCCAAAGATGGAAAGACTGGGCATTATCTGCAATGGGGGAGTGGTTGGTGAAGATGATGGAACTTTCTGAGATGGCCACATTGACTTCTTTGATTAGAGAAAAGACAATATCTACGTTTATCACAGACTGGAAACCCCTTATGGACTTTTTGTGTAAAACAGAAAAAAATGAACTTATGATCGATCTATGGTTTTGATGATCAGATAGGATA